TGTGCAGGAGTGAGGAGAGAGATTAATAGCCAGACGTGTACCCAGAAGCCTCCTGCTACGGGACAAGCCCAAGAAAGAAACCAACAGAACACCACTGGCCATCACCACTGGTCCTCAGCTAAAACCTCTCCAACACATCATTAGTGATCTACAACCCATCCTGGACAATGATCCCTCACTTTCACAGGCCTTGGGAGGCAGGCCAGTCCTCGCCCACAGACAACCCGCCAACCTGAAGCATATTCTCACCAGCAACTATACACTGCACCATAATAACTCTTAACTCAGGAACCAATCCATGCAACAAACCACGGTGCCAACTCTGCCCACATATATACACCAGCAACACCATCACAGGCCCTAACCAGATCAGCCATACTGTCACTGGTTCATTCTCCTGCACATCTACTAACGTAATATATGCCATCATGTGCCAACAATGCCCCTCTGCTATATACATTGGCCAAACTGGACAGTTCCTACGTAAAAGAATAAATGGACACAAATCAGATATTAGGAATGACAATATACAAAAACCTGTAGGGGAACACTTCAATCTCCCTGGACACACAATTGCAGATCTAAAGGTAGCCATCCTGCAGCAAAAAACTTCAAGACCAGACTTCAAAGAGAAACTGCTGAGCTACAGTTCATCTTCAAGTTTGACACAATCAACTCAGGATTAAACAAAGACTGTGAATGGCTAGCTAACTACAAAAGCAGCTTCTCTTCTCTTGGTATTCACCCCTCCAGATCAGCTACTAGAAGTGGGCCTCATCCTCCCTGATTGGATCCACCTATCATCTCTAGCCTGATTCTGGCCTGCATATTTATCCCTGCCTCTGGAAATTTCCACTACATGCATCTAACGAAGTGGGTCTTTGCCCACGGAAGCTTATGCTCCAACACTTCGGTTAGTCTATAAAGTGCCATAGGACTCCTCGCCAAATTTGCATATGAATTCCAGTTTAGCAGTTTCTCGTTCCAATCTGTTTTTTTTTTGGGGGGGGGGGGTCCTGAAAATGGCAACTTGCAAGTCTGAAACTATATGTCCAGGAAGTTTAAAGTGTTCCCACACTGGTTTTTGTATGTTGATATTCTTAATGTAGTATCAATTTATTCTTTTGCGTATAGACAATTCAGTTTGTTGGATGTACATGGCAGAGGGGCATTGTTTGCACATGATAGCATATATTACATTAGGAGATGTGCACATGAATGAGCCTTTGATGGTACTGCTGATGTGGTTAGGTCCTGTGATGATGTTGCTAGGGTAGATGTGTGGACAGAGTTGGCAATGGGGTTTGTTGCAGGGATAGGTTCCTGGAACAGATTTTTTTAATGGGTGTGAAGTTGGTGGAATTAGTTTCGGGTTGGGAGGCTGTCTGAAAAACAAGGATTGGCCTTCCAACATCTGTGAGAACAAGGGGTCGTTGTCTATGATAGGTTGTAGATCCTTGATGATGTGTAGGAGAAGTATTAGCTGGCGACAGGGGCAGATGAGAGTGCCGCGGGGCCCAGGGCAGCACAATTTCGTACATGCGCAACAGCCACAGCAGACAGGAATTAGTGCATGCGCGGGGCCTATTGAAGCACAGGGCCCGGGGCAGCCACCCCACTCGCCATGCCCTAAATCCGCCACTGGCTGGCGACTGTATATAATGGCAGGTAGTGTTCTGTTATTTTCTTTGTTGATCTACCTTGGAGTGCTTGATAGAGATCCTGTTGATGTTTTTCTGTGTTTGAGAGAAAGGAGCAAATATGGTTGTATCTTAGGGCCTGAATGTAGACAATAGATCGTGTGATGTGTTCTGGATGAAAGCTAGGGATGGGTAAGGAAATAAAGAAGTCAGTAGGTTTCCTGTATAGAATGGTATTTATGTTGCCATCAGTTATTTGTACTGTAGGTCTAGGAAGTGGATCTCTTGTGTGGAATGATCCAGGCTGATACTGATGGTGAGGTAGAAATTGTTGAAATCCCAGTGGAATTCGTCAAGGGCCTCCTTCACATGGGTCCAGATGATGAAGATGTGGTCAATGTAGAAGGGGTGCATTTGGGAAAGGAGCCTGTGAAAACGTTCTAATTCAGCCATAAAAATGTTGGTGTACTGTGGGGCCATGCAGGTACCCATGCAGAAAACTGTCCTGCTAACAGAGCACTCTCTAGATGGACTTTCTAAGAGCCTGTTTACACAGATACTTAGTGTGCAGCAAGCTTAAGTGTAAATACATACTAAGCAGTACGGGGCCATGTGAACCCTGCTGCTGCCTATTAAAAGTTCTTAAGCACATTTTGCATACTGCTCTTTGAACTAGTGAAATGTTTTCTGTAATTTAAACTCCTAGTCTCATTTTGGTCAAACACTCTATTTAATGTGTCCTCATGCCTTTTTTAAAAGGCTTCTGTCAATAAATAAATCCCCTTTTTTTCCCGAATCACAAAATATTTTGATATGAAAAACCCCCACATTCAAAATAATGAAAGAAATATCCCTCTATCTAGAGCTGGAGAACAAAGTTATATTATCTCTAGCTCATTTCATTATAAATAGCCACAAAACTACAACTGTCTATGATAAATATTTCTCTCCATCTCCCTCTTATCTTATCTGCCATGAACAACTGCCTGATTAGATAAATGCCTCTACTTGGATGGAAATAATGCAGATGTTATGCTGCTAGAAGCCATTCCAAAATATACACCATCAAGGATAGTTTATGGAGAGTTAAACTCTTACCTCACCTATCTGCTAGCAAATGAAATGTAAATTAAATAGGAAAAAATGATGAAATGGTGTGAGAATATTCTTTACCTAGCATTTGGAAAATTTCAAACTCTCTAGGGTTTGATCCAAAGTCCACTAATGTCAACAGATCAGACTTTTTAGTGATCATTTTTTCCCTAGGGTCCTAAACCAGGCTAATTTGATGCGAGGTAAAATGTACAAGTTCAGACTTTCAGATAAGTTTAAAAAAATTTGGAGGTCCAGACACATCAAGTTATATATTTTAGTCCACTTATTATTCATACATATTAATTGAAAATATATATTAAAGTGACAAAGCCTCTTCTCATAACTACATCTGAAAAGCTTTGAAATCTATTTTCCAGATTCTGATCTATCGCCACCTTTTCCTTATGTGCTTAAAGATGTATTTCTAGATGTAACTCAAGAGAGTTTTATTGAGAAAGTTCAACTTGCCCAAAGGTTGGCCAAATTTAATAATATTATTTCAGAGAAGAAACTCACTTAATGGGAGAAAAAGTAAATATAATACTATGATTTTAATGTCCTGTACATTAACATTTTTACTGAGACTGATCTGAAAATCATTTAAAATAGAAAAGGAAATTATGGAAAAGCATACTCTTGATCTCTCCTTAAAAGCACACATTAAAACTGTAGTGTATGTGCGTGCATGTACACACACACACACACACACACACACACACACATATACAGTATACTGCTAATTTTTCATAAATGATGCTTTAGGGCCAATAGTACGATTTGACTGAGAAAAGCAATTCTTAGTAAAAATGTCATGAAACTTTCATTAAACCTATCATAATCCTCTAACTTTCACATAAAATAGTCTAAGATCAAATCTCATTTTTTACAATCTGCTAATGATGTGTGTTTCTTGCATCTACAGCTTGGCTGTCTGGAGCAGGCTAAATAAACTGTCCATTATAGGTTTGCACATGCCTAAAACAAACACCAAGTAAATCAATTTTTTCCTGGTGTCTTCAAAACATAATCTAGCACTATTGCATAAATCATTCTTTGCAAGATTTGCCTCAAGGAGCATTATAATTAAAGACAAGTTTATCACTGCTGAGGATACAGTATGGCGTATAGTGCAGTATGGAATTCCATTTCTCAAGCTCAAAGGGATTTTAGCTTTGTTGTTGTTGTTGTTTAAAATGTTTGCTTTATTGATGCAATGCTCCAGAATGTTTTTTAATGGGAGCCACCGTGCATTCCTACATGGCTATTTTTTAAAGCCCTGGCTTTATGCTTATGTGCAGATGATCGCTCTTCCTTTAGCACGATATAATCATAATCCTGCAACCAAATACACACCCGAATCACTTTAATTTTTTACTTTTCAAACCATTTTAGCCATGCATGTTAGTCAGATGTTTCATTTCAACAGGTGTTCTTGTGGCTAAATGCCCTGGTTGGGTGGGAAAGTCTCAACCAAAGAGACTGATAGCTGAGTGAAGTTTCTCTTGCCCGGTAGTGTTTGCGGTATCTGGTCCTCTCACAAGTGTACCCAATACATTGTTTGTGCTTGTGAACTCTGCCATGACTTTGCCCACATGAACACATGCAGGAACTGTGCCTACCAAGGTATGCAGGCTCAGAGCTTCAACAGTTGTAGTCCAACTAGCCAAGGCAGAGGGAAAAGCAAGGGCAAGGGCAAGTTATTGTCCTTAATACGTTTCAAGAGGCAAAAGGAGCCCGCTGAGGGAGCGAGGGCATAAGCTCCCTGAGCATCTTCTCCAGGGAGCGTAGGTAGGTGGAGCGTGCCTGGCTGAGGTGCGGGGAAGGGAACCTGGAGGTGGGGACCGGCAGATGGTGCTTTCCCCTCCTCCCCTGGCTGCTGAGGTATGAGGAGGCGGCCCGGAGCCGGTGCCCAGCCTGCCTCCCTCCCCCTC